GTAAAACCTTGGCTTAACTGAATAGTGGGTAAGGAGGCCTGAGGATGGCCCAGAGAAGGTTTAAATTCTTACTGGCTACTGCACTAAGTTGTAAAGTGCAGCCTTAGTTGATGGTTCTTTTATTAGTGCAACATCCCGGAATGCATGTGTCTTACAACCCTTGTGGATATGAAACCCAGCTGGGTAGACACTGCAAAGTCTTACCTCATTTGATTCTTCCATTTGGTTTCTATTGTCCCTCAGGGACAAAGGAAAGCCATGGTCCAGCCTAAGATGAAAGCTATTTAGACCTCCGGCTGGCCTTTAACCACCCTGCAGGCCACCCCCAAGGCATGGCCACACTCCCATCTGCTGCCAGGGGGCCCTATCTTTAGGTTCAGCTCCCAAACCTTGAACATCTTGGAGGATACACAAATAGGAGGTGCACTCAGCTCAGGCTCAGTATTCCTTAAAAAGCACCTTGCTAAAGCTATCAAGTTCACTGGAATAATTCTGTGAAGGACACATCTTCACTGATGTCAGATTTCTGATGTAAATGGTGCCTTCACATGCTCTGGGGCATTTGGCTACCAAGGGTGGGTTTGAACTAGTTCCAGCACACAGAGTACAAGTCCCTTCAGAACCAGGCAAAACCCTATGTTGCCCCATGACTCATGCTGTTCTTGAGACTTGCATAGAAAACAGAGCTGCTGTTACCCACGCTGATATCTATTTCATGACCACATATGTTCAAAAGCCACATGTGAGAGGCATGGTTGAAATGAGAGGTTGTGTTTTCCAAGTTGTTTTCTGACTGTCTCCTTTCCCACATCCTCAGGCCTTCAGAATCCCTCTCCAGGGATAATTACTATTACCACCACCAGTGTATTCCTTAAGAGATATTTAAACCTTGTACAAAATACGCACACATCATTATTTCCCACAAATGACAGCATACTATGTACATGGTACCTCACCTAGCTTTTTTCATTTACCAGTATATCTTAGAGATTGTTCCATAACAGAACATATAGATTTGCCTGTTTTTGTTGTTTTTCCCAAGTTTCCAAGAGCTGGAAACTGTGTTTTTAAGCAGCTGCTTGGTATTCCATTAATTGGACTTATCGTAATTTGATCTGTCCCTAGTGATGGACATTGGGGTTGTTTCCCTTCATTTGTATTTCAAGCTTGCTGCAGTGACAGTGTACACACTTGCTTGAGCATCTATGTGTCTATGACAAATTCCAATAAACAATTTAAACTAATTTAATTCTTATGCTCTCAAAAAACCTAAGAGGTTATTTTTTAGAGGAGAAAGCTAAGGCTGTTGTTTTGATTCCTTTTTACCACTGGATTTGGGACTCAACTGTTTGGTAGTCATTGTGTCCTTCTCCCCTACCAGGATTTGAACCCTGAGCCCAAGGCCCGAGTCGCCTCCATCTTCAAGGGAGAGTGGGAAGAGCACAGGCCTTGGCCTCAGTCCCGCTCCCCGTGCTTCCAGCTGTGGGATGGGCCAGGTGCTTCACCCAGCTATGCCTCCTGTGAGGCATGATGTGTGCAAAATGGAAATGTGAATATAAAGGTCAACAATGTCCCTCAATGACCAGTACTGATCCTCAGAATCACGTGGGAACTCGTAGAAAGCGGTATCTGTACCACTCTTTCCTCTGTAGCATGGTCCAGATGACTCGTAGCAGGGACCACAGTATGCTGGGTGAGCACCCACTGCATGCACTCACTGTGCCAGCACCGAGAGACTCCTGTGGGAGCCATGGCAATTCTAAGGTCTTCACTGGGGACTCTGAGACAGCAGGGAGCTAGGATGAGGGCTGCAGAGTGTTCTTCTGCCTGCACTGAGCAGACCCCTTGGATGGCAGGGAACAGTCCCAAGCCAGATGGGTGCCCATAACTAGCCATTTGGCTCTCAATACATAATACCACCACGTGTCAGGCAACACTATCCCACCCAGAGCATGACCTGAATTTGCATCCCATCTTCAGAGGATACATTGACCCACTTCTTCCATTCTGCCTTAACCAAAGCTTTTATGTGAATTTTCCCCATTGAGAAGACAAGCTCCTTCCTGGCTTAGACTGCACTTGACTGATCTTTTCATGAGCTCCCCGCCAAGCCAGGACCACCCGAGGCTTATATGGAGACTTGGTGCACATTAGAGATGTTCCTGTGCACCTGGCAGCCCTGAGCCCAGGCACCCAGTAAGGCAAAGGGCCGGATTTGGGACCCGTCTGCCACTCAACCAGAAAGTCAGTTGCTTATTTCTAACTTCCCTGCCTTCTCCACATTTGTCCCATTCCTTCCTCTCATCATGAATATCCCCAGAGCCATTCAACAGGGCAGTGAATTAAATATAGAACCTTTTTTTTTTTCAGAATTGCAGAAAGGATTAGATTGATAATGATCCAAGTAGAGCAATAAGTCTGACAGTTTAGTAAAAGCTCAATAAAGGGCGGCTTAGTTCCCCTCCCCCAAAATAATCTGAAAAGAAAACGTGTCTTATTTCAGGGGGAAAAAAAATAAAGTGACCTTTAAAGATCAAATTCCCAGGATACCCAGGGTAGAGGTGGAACATGGGAGTCCACAGGCAGCCTTGATGATTCCAAAGATCCAAAGGGCTTCTGCTTCCTCACATAATGCAGGAAACAAATTGAACATGTATTAAGTGCTTGCTGTATGCGACACACTGTGCCAGGTGCTCCCCCTAAAACAGTTCTGTGTACAGGCATGAGAATGAATCCCGATCTTACAGACAAAGAATGTTAGACTCAGAAGTTTCAAGCTCACCCATCACTCAGCCAGAGAGGACAGATGCAGGATTCAATCTCGGGAGCGCCCGAGTCCACAGAAGTTCCTGGGCTAAAGGACCGACCACAGGCATGTGAAGAGATGCAGGACAATTTTTATTGGATTTGAGGTCAGCTTTGCCAGCTCTTCTCACTGGGGGAAGGGGAGGGAGAAAGTAGCTAGCTCCAGGGTCCCTAACATAGAACCACCAAGGACTTCACTATTTTTACTCATACAGCAGCGTGTCTGGGAAGATCATGCTCTGTGACAAGCTACAGGCACTAAGTAGCAATTTCTGTTTCCCCACATATAGCTTGAGTCATATGAAACTGACATGGATGTGGCTCAAAAATAGCTGCATGTCAGCCATTTTATACCATTTGACTTAAATATTATTAATTAATGTCACAACCAGAGATTATTCTCTGAGAAAAGGGCATTGCAGCCTGAAGCAGAGAAGGCATACACGTTCCCTGAGGTTGGGAACTCATCACAGCCTGAGACAGCTTGGGGCGTAAAGCCCCGGCCCACTTATCCCAGGAGATTCTGGGTGAGATGCAGTCCTCAAAGAAGAGACTGGGAAGGGAGAAGTGACACCCTGGCTGGGTGGGCCTCATCTTGGTGAGACACCGCCTGGGTAAAACCATCATGGAAAGGGTATAGTGGGGCGTGGAAACTCCCTTGGTTAAAGCGTGAGGCTTTGCTGTAAGTTGTGGTAAAGAGGGAGGCGGTGACAACCAGGAGGCCTGTTTTGAGGGTTTCTGAGGGACCCATCTGCATCTGTGGTATCGTAAGGAAGGGAGGAGGAGACACCCAGAGGAGCAGTGTGAAGGGGCTGCCTCCCAGCCAGCTCTGGAGTGAATGACCAAGTCCTGGCTGCGAAAAGAAGGGGAGTGCAGCCTGCAGAAGTGTCTTCTTTTTTCAATTCCTGCTCAGAAAGTAACAGGAGATAAGAATAGTGGGGAAGACCAGACCAAAGTGAAGTATAAGGCTGGTAATGGTAAGGGGGAATTAGTCACTCGGAACCTAGGCCAGTAGACATTGGAGCCCCATCCTCCATCTTGGATCAGCCAGCCCCTCTATGACTGCAGAGCCCTGAATGATGGCAACATCTCCTCTTCACTTAGGGTTGTAGGATGACCAACAGTCCTGATTTGCCTGGGAGTGGGGGGTTCCCAGTAGGTGGGACTTTCAGGGCTAAAACCAGGAAAGTCCTGGGCAACCCAAAATAAGGTAGTCACTCTAGAGTGTATGACTGTCTGATACCTGCTAAGAAAGAGAAGGACTTGGTTATAAGGAGAAGAGAAAGTGAAATGTTTCTCAAAAAACAAAGATGAGGGTTTCCCGGTGCTGTTCTGCCCAAGGCTCTGGGTCTGAAGCTTCTCTCTCCAGGCCTAGCTTCGTGGAAAAGTAAGGAGCCAGAGAGTGGAAAAGATGGAAATAAAGGAAGAGAATGGAGAATTGCTTTGGGGAAGTTTAGACTGGAAGTGTGAATTACAACTGCACCCCCAAGTCACCCCATCTCACCCCTGCCTCCTGCTCAAGGCTCTCCCTCTCTCATCCACACATTGGTCAAACTAGCTAGCTTTTGGAGAGACTTTGGACAGTCAAAGAAAAACAGATCTGTCTCAAGCTTCAAAAAGCCTAGAGCTGGCCAGGCACTGTGGCTCACGCCTGTAATCCTAGCATTTTGGGAGGCTGAGGCAGGTGAATCATCTGAGGTCAGGAGTTTGAGACCAGCCTGGCTAACATGATGAAACCCCATCTCTACTAAAAATACAAAAATTAACCAGGCATGGTAGTGCACGCCTGTAATCCCAGCTATTTGGGAGGCTGAGGCAGAGGAATTGCTTGAACCCCAGGGGGCAGAGGTTTCTGTGAGCTGAGATTGCACCACTGCACTCCAGCCTGGGTGACACAGCGAGACTCCATCTAAAAAAAAAAAAAATTCCTAGAGCCAAATGCTCACGGAGCCATTTACTGCATGGCTTTGGGCAAGTCAAAGGACTCTGCCTATCCAGTCAAAAGAGTCTGTTGCAGTCTTCATCGCAAGACTGTTGTGGGGATTAAACAACATGGCAAATGGGAAGCTGGGAAATGTAGTGTGCACCCAACCAATATTTGTTTCTTCCTGCCTGCCTACATATGAGGCCACACAGAATTCCAACTTTGTTTCTCTGAGAACTAATGCAGTTACTTGTTTTTCTTTCTGATCCAGGCTGTCACTATGGATCCGTTCCCTGAATCAGTTACAGAAAACTTTGAGTACGATGATTCAGCTGAAGCCTGTTATATTGGGGACATCGTGGCCTTTGGGACTGTGTTCCTGTCCATATTCTACTCCGTTGTCTTTGCCATTGGCCTGGTGGGAAATTTGTTGGTAGTGTTTGCCCTCACCAATAGCAAGAAGCCCAAGAGTGTCACCGACATTTACCTCCTGAACCTGGCCTTGTCTGATCTGCTGTTTGTAGCCACCTTGCCCTTCTGGACTCACTATGTGATAAATGAAGAGGGCCTCCAAAACGCCATGTGCAAATTCACTACCGCCTTCTTCTTCATCGGCTTTTTTGGAAGCATATTCTTCATCACCATCATCAGCATTGATAGGTACCTGGCCATCGTCCTGGCCGCCAACTCCATGAACAACCGGACTGTGCAGCATGGCGTCACCATCAGCCTAGGCGTCTGGGCAGCAGCCATTTTGGTGGCAGCACCTCAGTTCATGTTCACAAAGCAGAAAGAAAACGAATGCCTTGGTGACTACCCTGAGGTCCTCCAGGAAATCTGGCCCGTGCTCCGCAATGTGGAAGCAAATTTTCTTGGCTTCCTACTTCCCCTGCTCATTATGAGTTACTGCTACTTCAGAATCATCCAGACGCTGTTTTCCTGCAAGAACCACAAAAAAGCCAAAGCCATCAAACTGATCCTTCTGGTGGTCGTCGTGTTTTTCCTCTTCTGGACACCCTACAACGTTATGATTTTCCTGGAGACGCTTAAGCTCTATGACTTCTTTCCCAGTTGTGACATGAGGAGGGATCTGAGGCTGGCCCTCAGTGTGACCGAGACAGTTGCATTTAGCCATTGTTGCCTGAATCCTTTCATCTATGCATTTGCTGGGGAGAAGTTCAGAAGATACCTTTACCACCTGTATGGGAAATGCCTGGCTGTCCTGTGTGGGCGCTCAGTCCATGTTGATTTCTCCCCATCTGAATCACAAAGGAGCAGGCAGGGAAGTGTTCTGAGTAGCAATTTTACTTACCACACGAGTGATGGAGATGCGTCCCTCCTTCTCTGAAGGGACTCCCAAAGCCTTGTGTCTACAGAGAACCTGGAGTTCCTGAACCTGATGCTGAATAGTGAGGAAATATTTTTGTTGTTGTTTCTTACAGGCATAGAGTGGTGGACCCAATGCACACAAAACCACCCTAGAGTGTTGTTGAGAATTGTGCTCAAAATTTGAACAATGAACAAATTGAACTCCCTTACTGCAAATGTCATCAGAACTTTTTGGTTTGCAGATGACAAAAATTCAACTCAGTCTAGTTTAGTTAAAAGGGGGTGGTGAATATTGTTCATATTGTGGCATAACAAAAGGGTGTCTGAGCCCTCAAAGTGAGGGGAAACCAGGGCCTGAGCCTAGCTAGAATTGCCTCTCTCTGACGCTCAAATCTTTTAGTTATTATAGATCCCCCAGACTTACATGACACAGCTTTATCACCAGAGAGGGGCTGACACCCATGCTTCTCTGGTCCCAAGGGCAAAATTCCCAGGGAAGTGCTCTGATAGGCCAAGTTTGTATCAGGTGCCCATCCCAGGAAGGTGCTGTTATCCATGGGGAAGGGATATGTAAGATGGAAGCTTCCAGTTCAATCTCACTGATAGATAAGCAGAAGTACATATTTCCAAGAAGTTGAATTTGTACTGTTCTGATTACACAGAACAAATGCCACACACCACCCTTACCATGTGCCTGACCCAGCCTCTCCCCTGATTACACCAGCCTTATTTCCATTAAGCCCTCCTCCATCACATCCCCAAACCTATAAGGGCTCCCCACTGCCTACTGCATTGAGTCAAAACTCAAATGCTTGGCTTCTCATACCTCCATCATAGGATCCTACCAACAGAGTCCCCATTGCCTCCTCCTTCCCAAAGGGCTCCACCCATCCTATCAGCCTGTCTCTTCCATACGACCTAATGCATCTCCACCTGCTCCCAGGTCAGTAGGGGAAACAGAAAAACCCTGCCCCCAAATAAGAAGGGATGGATTCCAACCCCAATTCTGGTAGCTTGGGACTAATCAAGCTTCAGTTTCCTTGTCTATAGAAGAGGGATAAGCCTTTCACATAGAGATCATCCTTTCCAGCAGAAGGAACTAGCCACCAACTCTTGCAGGTCTCAACCCTTTTGTCTGCTTCTTAGACTTCTGCTTCCCCCACACCTGGCACTGCTGTGCTATGCCCAAGTTGTGGTGCTGACAAAACTTAGAGAAGCCTGCAGGTGCTGCTGCGTGGCATAGCACAGACACAGAAGAGGCTGTTTCTTACAATGGCACCCAGTGAGCACTCCCAAGTCTACAGAGTGATAGCCTTCCCTAAGCCGACTCTCCTGGACTGTCTTGAATATCCCCTCCCAATCACTTTGTGGCAAGCTCCTGCCCATCTGGAAACATACCCCATCATTCATGCCACTGCCAACCTGGGGAGCCAGGGTCATGGGAGTAGCTTCTTTTCCCCCCTAGAAACGTTTGAAACAATCTAAAGCTTTAAAGCTTGAAAACCAACTGTAATAATGCTAAAGAAAATGTCATCCAATCTAACCACATCAATATTGTCATTCCTGTATTCACCCATCCAGACTTTGTTCACACTCTCACATGTTTAGAGTTGCAGTCGTCATGTACAGATGGTTTTATAATCTGATTTGTTTTCTTCTTCACATTAGACCACAAAGAGTGCTCGCTTTCTATGTAGTTTGGTAATTATCATTTTAGAAGACTCTACCAGACTGTGTATTCATTGAAGGCAGATGTGGTATCTGATAAATTGCTGTGTATCTGATAGCTCTTTGGCAGTCTTCATGTTTGTATAATGAATGAGAGAATAAGTCATGCTCCTTCAAGATCATGTACCCCAATTTACTTGCCATTACTCTATTGATAAACATTTAACTAGTTTCCAATGTTTAGCAAATACATATTTTATAGAACTTCCATCTGTATAACTTTCTTTCTCCCATTCAATTATTTCCTGTGGTTAAATTCATTGCCATGGGGAAAACTGAGTCAAAGGGCATGGGAACATGTTAGCTTTGGATACACACATATGAAAGTCAATATTACACAACCTTTACTGAGTTGTATTATATACAAAATGTGAATGCACATCCAGAGCTATTCCAGAAACGATGAGACCAGGCTTCTTCCCTCAATAATTTAACATTTAAATGCAGAAGAGAAGTAGAGGAATAATCACACTTTGCATTAGGTGGTAGCACAGGAGTAGTGTGTGACTTCTGACCTGAGTCTTTAAGGGAAAGGGGTTCTCCAGGTAAAGAAAGGTGGCATTCAAGGCTGAGGAAACGGCATGTACAAAGGAAGTGTGTGAGAGCATGAGGATCTCACAATGTGAAAAACCTCTGTGTGAATATTAAAAGGTGTTGGAAGTGGAGTGGGTGGTAGGAACCTTCTGAGCTGAGCTGTTAGCTGTGGGCTGAGCTACAATAACCAGTGGAGCGGGTGCTGGTTCTCCTCGGGGTGTTCACGGAGTTTCTTCATTATTACCTGATCCTCATTCCAACTGTTGAACCATAAGACTTTTAATTAAAGTTTAAACTATTTCTGGACTTCCAAGAAGTAGGAAATAATTACTTTGGCTTGAGAAATAAAAGAAGAGAAACAAACACTTTCATTTCTAGAAGAAAATTAAATTTGTATCATTAGGAACCTATATTTACTAATTCATTCATTTTTCTGAATAGAACAGAATAGGAAGAAAATAAGGAAGCTCATTGAAAAATCCAAAATAGCAAGGATGTTGGTGTCTAAATAAAGGAAGGCATTTTTGGAAAGGACAGTTGGCCCTCAGAGCACACCTGAATCAGACCCACTCCTGCTTCTGAGCTCTGGGCTTCCCAAGAGCAGAAGGATCTGTCTGTGATGAATCCCAACATATTAACTCTCTGCTTTGGCAGGTTATTTAACATCTCTGAGGCTCAGTCTCCTCATCAGAAAAATAAAGGTAAAAGTAGTTCCCACCTGGTAGGGTTGGAGCAGAGGATTCAGTAAGATTACCCCTGCAAAGATCACAGTGCAGACCTGGCAAAGCAAGCTCGAATGAATGGTGGCAATTATTTTTATACTTATTATTTTTATTATTAGACTGAGCTTTTCCCAGCAACTAAACACATGCTGTCTTGTCCTTTCCTTTTGCTTTTCTTAGTAGCAGAATCGCAGACTCTTGGGTGGTTGGAGATAACTGGGTCCAAATTCACATTTCGTGGGTAAGAAAACGGAGGCTCAGAGAAGGCCAGCAGGTGGCCCAAGGTACCACAGTGAATTACTGGGAGAGGTAGATTCAGTCTACCATTTCCTTCCTCATCTTGATAAAAATACAGATCAATCTGGCCTCTAAGAGCAGAGAACACAGAAGGAATGTCTGCAGGCAGACAATGAGACAGGGAAGAGCAGCCCGCAAGGTAGCTGCAGAGTTTAACAGAATCAATCTGCACATGGACAGGTGTGTGCTGTGTGGCACAGCCTTTGGCAATTGCAGTTTGGAGACATCTGTATCTGCAATGACAGATGGTGTCAACTGAGACTCATCAGCAAAGGCTGCAGAATTCCCAGAGGCAAATGCTATCAGTGGCTTCCAGGAGGATCTGGGTGGGTGGGCCAAGCCTTAGACAGACTGGCCATGGTGGAGGGACAGCCATATCCAGGGGCTGCCCAGTGCTTGGGCAAAATGCTGAATCCCTTCCACATAATTCCACTCACTTCATGCTTATCTATGGTCATTTAATGACATTCTAAGAGAGTGTCTCCTTCCCAGGGACCTTGCTATCAAGAAAGATGGAGCATATTTGCTTTTATTACTAAGAAGAGCTATCAACCCTTGTAATCCATTGTACCTAGAGTGTGTACAGGGTCTCATGGCTTTTCCATTCATCTCTCTCTGAGATGCTGTCCCTAAGCATCCAGGGAAAGAGTTCACCTCTGGCCTCAAAGGTCAACAACTACACCTGGGAGCATAAGAGCCTGAATGAGAGGTCCACCTTGGGTAGTACTTGGGCCCAAGATGATGCCCATTTGTGCCTTCAAAATTGGAGCAGTTCTCTTAACTCAGCAGCTAATTTTTTCTCCACTTGCACGGCACTCACTGGCCCACGGGGACCACTTCAGTTTCAACATGACTTGTAATATTGTTTGCTTAACTTGCTGAGTTGGCAACAAAATTTTGGGCTACTCAAGAGTAGTGTGATCTGAGAGCAAGTGAGAAAAACGAGTTTTAGCAAATTTAGAAATATCCGGTTTGTCTTCAATATACTCTCCATCCACAGGGGGGCCAAGGGCCAAGTCGTTTTCTGAGGGATATGAGGCATCATGTTTCTATTTCTGTTACATTACAGCAGTTGTTAGGCAACAGGGAGAGTTCCTCCAGACACACCCGGGGCAGCGGCAGGCAGCGGGGCAGTGCTAGCAACCGCAAAACATGCTCAGCAGGAAGATTACTCTTTTACTCCATATTTCCTTATTTACTGAGATAGAAACAAAAATAACATTTTAATTTGCTTTTCTTTGAATACTAGGTAAGATTGTTCATTTTTCAAGGCATTTGTTTTAAATTATTTGTATATTTTTCTGATTCTAAAAGAAAGATACTCATTATAGAAAACATGAAAAATACACTTTTTAAAATTAAAAATGTTTTAATTACACGATATTCAACCTCCCAGAGACAACTGTGGTTTAACACTGAAGTTATTTTCTGCCATGAGCATACTTTTTTAAAAAAAAATACATAAGAGTAGACATTTCTCAAAAGAAGACATATGAATGGCCAACGGGTAAGTGGAAAAATGTTCAACATTTCTAATTATTAGGAAAATGCAAGTTAAAATCACAATGAGATACATCTCAGATTTGCCAGAATGGCTTTTATCAAAAAGACAAAGAGAATAAATGTCAGCAAGAACGTGGCAAAAAGGGAATCATTGTGCACTATTGGTAGAAATATGAATTAGTACAACCATTATGGACAACATTTTAGAGGTGTCTCCAAAACTAAAAATAGAATTACTATATGATCCAGCAATACCACTTCTGAGTGTTTACCCAAAAGATGTGAAATCAGTTTGTTAAAGAGATGCCTGCACCCCCATATTCATTGCAGCACTATTCATAATAGCCAAGTTATAGAATCAACCTAAGTGTCCATCAACAGAGGAGTGAATAAGGGAAATGTGGCATATATACACAACAG